TTACCCCTTCGTCGTATCCAGGTACTATGACTGGTTTGATGGCCGTACAACACAAATGACGTTATTACAGAAATATATTAATAAGAGTGGGTACAATAAAAAGTGTGACCACCACTGTATGGGGCAGTCTATGGCGTGCGATCAATTGATGTGCGTTGGTTGTCCCTGAAATTGACCAGGATCGGTGAACTGTTTGACATTCAATGACCCGACTGCCGGATGATTTGGCAATAGCACAGTAACATTTCAATGACCCTAAATTTCCAAAACGGAGAGTAAGCAATCTGTGACTAGAATCCCGCTTTTCCTATTGACGGATTAATAACTTTAACGTCTTACGCTCTGTAATTGGTAATAGACTCATCGATAATAAACTGAATCTTCAAAGAAACGTTTGCTGTGGGGATCAACGAAGTGCATCTGATATACTATTACAGTTCATGATGCCTAAAGCCTAATTCCCGTGAGAGCCGACAAAGGACGCATTGTGCAACTCGACCAGGTGTCTGAAAATGCTATGAGTAAACCCTGTGATAAGATGCTAATATTTAGTGGTTCGCGCCAGCGTTCAGGTTATGTCCTGAGGGAGAGCTTGATGGAAGAAAAAAGAGACGACTCGCTAAGCAGAAAGAATGCACTTACACTCACTGATGAAAGCATTCGAAAGCAGTAAGAAAAAAACAAAAGTGCAATATCAAGACTATTCGAAAATCGAAACTGAGAGTTGACGAGATACAACTTCGAATGCGTTACGATGATCCTATCATTTCCAAGGTCAGGCGTTTGCGAGGTCGGTAAACTTGCGTAAGTTTCCTGGCTATATTACTTTTTACCATAATATTTGCTTAACCAATTCTTACCTTATAAAAGTAAGACAGTCTGAATGCTACCAACTAAGTCTCAACAGTGCATCATGTTTTCACATTACATAAGTATACTTATGTAATACAAAACCTACCAGTCATTTGATTTATATAAACCCCGAGGGAAACTATTTCACCCGAAGTTAATTCAAGACGGTCAGTATTTTGGTTGTTTATCAAGTATTTCTGCAGCAAAATTTAGACGACTGAAGATGGGTGAGATGCAAAACACAGGTTTTTCTGGATTTTCGAAAACTCAGATCTCAAGGATTAGTTGAATGAGTTGATTTTATCCCCATACGTTCTTATGGCTCGTACACGTAAACGTTTACTACACGTTCAGTAAATATTAGGATCTTCTACTTAGTAGTCTAATTATTTGAGGATCTCAGCCTGGCCATGGCCTGCAGGCCAAGAGACGTTCCGCAGAAGTAGAAGTAAATGAGCGCTACCGAAACGGTGAAAATATCTCATACCTAAGGGCTTTCAAATTGTAAAGGTTCGAGGCAAAGCGACCCCCAAACCACTCTGGGTGCTAGGAAAAAGTTCTCCACAGAATTAAAGATGTGCTACACAAATGCTCTCAGCCTACAAAATAAAATGGCAGACCTCAGTACTATGGCGGATATAGAGAACCCGGATGTCATTGCTGTCTTAAGAACATGGTTAACGTCAGAAGTGTTTGACAATGAAATTCAGTTGATTGTTTTTTTATCCAGTAGGGCTGATAAAACAAACCGTAGCAGGGGTGGGGTTATCCTGTACACGAAAAGTACCTTAACCATACGAGCTGTTGAGTCGGTGGCACATGTCAACTGGTGCGCTGCAGGCTGAAGTGTAAACGGCAAGATATTTCATTAATTGTAATATACCTCAGTCCAAAATGTGCAGCAGATGACTTCCTCTTAAGCAAACTTAAGTTCTGGTGTAATAGGGGTAAAAATCCTTACAGTATGCGACTTCAATGCACCATATATAAAATGAGTAGATTTAGAAGTAGGGTTATCAACAACATCATTTGATTGCAAATTGTTAGAAACCACGATTGGATTAGCTTTATTCCATCACATTGGAGATCCCACCAGCTCCTCGTCTCTCTTGAACTTAGTCTTCACACACAGTGCTGACGTTAGCCAAATGACTCTCCTCCCACCTCTAGGAAGAGGTGATTATGCAGTTATCTTATTCAAGTTCATGGCTGAGATGACTTGTTAATCAGTCGCGCCAGCCCGTCCTAAAATATGGAAGGCAGACATAGGCGACAAACTCTGCAACATCGGTTGAAAACTGGATCAGTAGAAGAGGCGTAGACTCATTTCAGGCAGTTATACAATCGGGTAACTCAACCACATATACCCTGAACAGTCTTAAAGAAGAATAATTACAACCATCAACGGATAGGTCGGGATATTCGACGTTTAATAAGACAAAAGAAGAAATGTTGGAACGTTGCCATTAGATTTGACACAGAAAGTACGACAGAACGCCGCTACAGGTCGGTAAGAAATAAGTGTCTAACTAAAATCGGGAAGCTCAGGAAAAATATGAAACGCAATTAGTCCAATCTGTACTCAAACAGCCTAAGAGACTATTATCGTACATAAATTACAGAACAAGGACGCAACATTGGATTCCAAACCTAAGTACGGAAGGGAGTGGATCTGAAATGATAGGGGATGATCAGGGAAAACCAGAGGCCATGGTAAACTATTTCAGGGCAGTTTTCACTCAGGAGCCTCTTCTAGACAAAGAACTAGACCCGAATACAAAGTCAACAAACCGTCTGCTCACCGTCGACTTTGATCGAAACGATGTACTTAAGGCTCTTAGCACTTTAGACACAGAAAAGTCAACAGGATCGGATGAACCACATGCCAAAATCCTGAGACAAGTTTCACAATATATTGCGACCCCACTGATTGTGATATTCACTGTCACTTGGCCAAGGTGTGTTACCTACGAACTGGAAGGATGCATTCGTCACTTCAATACACAAAGCAAAACCAAGACAACTTCCATCAAACTACTGATCTGTTAGCCTTACCATTGTCGTATATCCTTATACACAATCTTTTATATATTACTATCATTGAAGTAACTACTATGAATTCGGTGTTCATCTTGTTGCACTAATGAGGTATGGAAACTTGAACCGATGCGTATTTGTTCCTGGTCCTACGTTGTAGCTGACTGACTGATCAGTGCCGTAGTCAAAATACTGGAAATAATAGTCAAAAAGACCATAATGACACTCATGGAAACCAACAACTTGTTAAACAGTGCACAACATGGTTTCAGAAAAAAGTTTATCTTGCACAACAAACCTTATAGCAAGGGAGCGATGAATAGAGTCTCTAGACAATGGAAAATCAGTGGATATTGTCTACATAGACTTCAGAAAAGCATTCGACAAGGCGCTTGTAAGTCGTAGTCAGAAATTAGGAAAAAAAATGAGGTATTTCTCCTGGAAACCATTACTTAATGAAGTACCACAAGGTTCTCTACTAGGTCCTTTACTTCTCATACTGTATGTAAATGAATTCCCAAGTGTAGTTGAGTCAACAATGTTACTATACGCTGATGTAAAATCCTGGTGAGAAATAACAGAAGACTCAAATGCATGCGCACTTCAGGCAGACTTAAATATTGTGATTAGTTGGTCTAAAGAGTGGCTGATGCTTATCAACGCTGCAAAGTGCGTCTACATGCAATTTGCGGATACAAACGTAAATAGGTACAGCATAGGGGAAGTGCCCGTACTCGTGGTCCGGTCTCACAAGGATCTTGGGGTGACAGTGAGTAATGATCTTAAAATCACGGCCCACTTCTGGGAAGTTGCAGCTAAGGTGTTTAGAAACCTATAGGCTTTAAGACACATTCACCAAGTTAGATACTATCATGTTCACTACAGTATACACAACCTTAGTGAGAACTAAGCTTGAAAACTGCGTTCAGGCTGCAAGTCCCTGTTTAAAAGGTGACTCGGATATCCTGGAAAAAGTACAGAGAGCAGCTATCCGTGCAATATTAGAACTCCGGGGTTTACCATACAAAGAGCGGCTTGAAAAGCTAGATCTTTTAAACTGTCCTATCGCACACTAAAAGGTGATCTGATTTTGATGTACAGAATACTAAGAAATGATTTCGGACCTAATATATCCTCTCTTTTCTTTCCCACTAGATCGGGACACCTCAAAGGACATAGTAGGCATGTAGAAAGACCAAGAGCGAACAAAATACCCGTGGCATACAGGTTCTCACACCGAGTCATCAATTTTTGGAACCTGTTACCCGAAGCAGTGGTGTCTGCACTTTCAATTGACTTATTCAAGAGAAGACTAAACACTCACAGAAGTATACTATAAAAAGAACGATATAGGCTGTATGCCTTCTGTCCTTACGACACAAATCTAAAATCCGATCTGAATCTGATTATTATTTCATATCTTAGCTACCTAAATTAAGTGTGGCTTATAGCCTGTTATGTGAACCTTTCTAGCTTTTAAATTGCCTATAGTGTTAGAAAAAGTCAACAAAATAAGACCGCCATTTATTCATTGTAAATGTTATTAAATAGTTAATAACTTTACCCCATCAACCGTCTCATTGACTTCCTGACTGTTATATTGTACGCATGTAAAGACAAAAACATAATTAAAACCCACTTTTTGGATTTCTAACTGCTTGTCACTGGATTGTCTCGTATAAATGGGAAGCTGTGAATCATTATTTTGTCTGAATGAGTTTTATCTACTAGGTAGTTTCCTCGAGTACTGTTCCACCTGCCAATTTTGGGCAGTATCATTAATTCAACATGTGATCATATTGTAGCCCAGGGACGTCAATGTAATTTGAAAGTTGTTTTATTATTAGTGATATATATTTGCCTGAGTTGTTTATTCTTGTCAATTTCAAGATGTAAAACAAAACTCCTGAATACTAATCTTTCGAAATATTTACCGTGCCTTCGGATCAAATTGTTTGGATTACACAATCTTGATTTTTAGGTATGAAATTTATGCACCCAATTTGATTTTTTCACATTAAAACGAAAACAAATTCAAAATGGTTTATTTCACCTAAAGGAGCTGATGGATTTATGGTCCACGACATTCCTACCTGTTTTATTCTATTTTCATGAAAGTAACAAAAATTCGAGAAGCATTTTGCCATGGTTTGTGGTCACCTACTAAGTCTGACTTTCTTTTTTCCCTTAACTGTCTTCCTCTGAACGAACAGCAAGTAGCTTTGCGTTTTGCCTACCAACGAGATGTACTTAGTTCTATGGTACGTTAATTTGTATTTGTACATAACTTAGTAGGTTGGAAAGTTACTTATCCGTGGAACAGCTGTACGATACCTTAAGATTTCTCCACATGATGTTAAACTAGAACGTTCTCCGGAAGGAAGGCCATATATTTTGGGTTATTCTGATGTGTTGGACTTCAATATTTCACATGGTGGCGACTTCACCATAATTGCTGCAACTCCTGTGGGACGATGTGGGGCTGATGTCATGCCTATAGAACTACCAGGTAAGCTCCTTCTGTATTGTATTTTACTATTGTACACTTCGACATCGTCTATCTTGTTTTTTTGTGATATTCCGAATACTTGAAAAATTAGTAGTTGGATATTACCAATCAGACATCAAGAAAGAAACAACTGTTTAAAAAACCATACTGAGTGTAGAAATAAGAATTTAATTTGAATTTGAATGAAGTTATTTGGTCTTACACAATATATTGGCTCCATATCTTCGCATTGTCATCGTATAATAACACGAAGCGATATTACCAGAGATTTCTTTCCTTTAAAACTCGTGTAGTTAATAATCTCGGGATATTTCTCTTTCCAAAAAGTTAATACTCAGGAACTATCCAAGATTCCAATAGTTTAAGTAGTTTCGCAACTAAATATTTACAAATACTTGAAACATATACTTATTATTACTCCATAATAGTAACTCTATCATTCAGATGGTATATAATTGACTGAGTGATGTTCTTTAAATCAGCTAACTTACTGTAGTGGTGTTACTAGACTTTTGTAATTCTAATCTATACTTTCGCCTGAAATGTTGTTCTGTTTGTGAATCCCTGGTCAGCATTTCAAAGGTCCGTAAATGACTTCGTTTTGAAAATGAAGGACGTATTTTCCTCTACAGAAGTGAACCGTATTTTATCCTCTGGGTCAGAAGCCGAAAAAATGAGAAAATTTTATGAACACTGGGTAAGTAAAATTCCATCTCCAAGTAACACGTTTGACGCAGTTAGTACATTCCATGTTAATTGTCGTGTAGAACATGCATATTCTTGTGTTTATTAGCAGCGTACGCTTATACACGGCTAGCCAACTTGCGAAATCCATTGGACATTACTTATAATGTTTTCTCGATTAATATTGGACCATGAGTTGTCGAAATGCATACCGTTTAAGCCTGTTGTCGCTTGGTTAACGGTATTTGGTATATCTTCCTGGTCTTAAAAAGACTAAATAAATACCCAGCTGAAGAGTTTTCTTATTATTGTTATCTAGTATATTTTAAAAGAATAGTCGGGCTTTTGTGTCATGACAAACGTACCTGCCCTAAAACGATTTAACGTCAAATAAGATATAATATTTGGTCAAGAATTGTAGAGAACAGTCGACCTCTGTACTATCGATAAAGACATTGAATAATTGAAAACTCATTGAGACTGTTTTGGTGCCTAAGAAGATTTAGTATTACAACATAGTTACTCTGATCAAATTAGGGTCTTCACGCAACATGATTTCTTTAAAAAGTTAGGCTTTTCCAGTAACCTTATTTAAAACATCAAATGTCAGTCAGTCAGCTACAACGTAGGACCAGGCACATGTGTGCACCGATCTAAGTTGCCATACCTCATTAGCACAACAAGATGAACACCGAATTCATAGAAGTAGTTAATTCAGTGGTAGTAATATATAAAAGAAAGATTGCATGTGAGGACATAGTACGGGAAGAAAGAATTAGTTAGAAAGAAAAATGTAAAGCGATTCTAATCTCATAGTTTAAAGGAAGACAAATAGTATATACACCTACGCCATTGTGATCGATTCTGAGCCATCAAAATGTTCCCGTTTCTTCTTTGTGCTTGTCATATAATGACAAATTAGCTCTGAGACTTCACTCAGCGGTGATGTTTACAGATCAGTCATTCTAAATATACCTGTACTATTTATGAACTAAGCAGTTACGAATTCCAGCTACTCGTCTTAAGGGTATCAAGCACTCCTCAATACGCCTAAATAACTCTTATGAACAATTAGAATAGGTTTAATTCGAAACGTGCCGATACCCAATTGTTACATGATACTTGCAGTTACTATAGTTCAGTTTATTGTTTCACATTACTCCCTTCTACCTCATATCTTTATTAATTGTTTCATTTCCACTCGATGCATATTTGTTTTAATTCCATATTTTTAATACACTGTTCAAAAAATTATTGCTGTTGTTTTAACGTAACTTGGTCCGATTGTTTAATACTCAACTACCAATAGCTGAATCCAACTAATGTCATTCTGTTAAGCAAGAATAACAAAAGTTTTAACTCACTGTTCATTATTTCTTTCAGTGTTTTAAAGAAGCTTACGTTAAAGCTTTAGGATGTGGACTTCGTATCCCCTTAAAAACAATAGAATGCCAGTTTTCTGACGATGGCAATGAATTCTCGATTAGTAATGAGCTTACAAATCAGCCAGATAAAAATTGGGCCTTTGAAAAACATAACCTACCTGAAAACCATCTGGCGGTAGTTGCTTGGTTTGAAAACACATATGTGGCAAGTTCCTAAGTACTTTATGTTTACTATTTTCTTAGAGAATTATTGTTTACTAACAAACCAAGCGAACCATAGTTTTGCATTTTTATAATTATTGAACTTTAATGTGTCGACTATGCTTCACCTTTCCCAAAAAGTCAAAGTATTTACCTTTATTTTCAACTGAACTCTCTCGTTAATCTCATGTTACAATTCACCTATCACTAAGTACTTCGACTTTATTAAAGATTTCAAGATTTTCGCTTAGTTTTTTAAGCTGTCTTTATCCGGGTGATGATGTCTGTTCACAATTTACATTAAATTTAAATCTTGTCGATCACAGAGAAATCTCTGTCTATCTTTCCATCCCAAAGGACAAATGGGACTGTTAGAGACCTACATCTTGTTTTGTTATCTTTTTCACTCCGCTAGTACTTCACCCTTTTGATCCATGAATAACAGCTTGAGTATATGATTTCGTCCAAAAAAAATTTCGCTGAATTCTCTTTTCCTTGTTCTATGAATAAGACCTTCATTATTGAACAGTTTTCACTAGGTGACAGTTTTTATGATGACACAAAAATGTGCTTTCTCATCGCTTCATATATGTGCAAATTATATGCACATGATATATGAGCAATCGTGTAATATTCCTGACCTTTGAAAAAGTTGTTTTTTGCTCAAAGCCCAGTACACATATTAATATTCGGTAGCTGAGATATGTCAACTTTAATCGTAAGCACTTCCTAACCGTACTTTATATTTAACAGCAGTGATGATTTTTTATGTTTAATATATATTTCCTTGTGAATGTTTCTCTTTTTTGTAGGAGACCAAAACCAGTACTTCATTTTCCCAACTGACATTTGAACAGTTACTGGACAAGTTAGCAGTCCTATCGCCTGTAGATAATACTGCTTGGGATCAATTTTTGAGGAAGCCTCATTCACCACCATCATCTCGTCAACGAATTCAAGTTAATCAATTTAGATTTAATTCATTGTAGAAATTTATTTAGTCATCAATTGCATGCTAATCATTGATTTTTAAGTATAAAGTATTTTATTTAGGGGAAAATTTTGTATATTTATGAAATAAAAATTTTACTGGTCTACTCAGTTTAGCTTAGGTTTCATGAACCATTAAGGAAAATTGATTCGAAGATCGGCTTTAGGTAAATCATTGGACCATATTAAAAAATCGTCAGTGTAATCAGGTTTGATTTGGTCATCTGTTAGATATGATTCCCAAGCAGTTCCGAAAAAATGTACCAAAGTTGTAGTCAGCATAAGATAAATGAATTGATAGGGTACACATACAGTGTATCTTTGGAAAACATTGCGTGCCCAATGTGCAGGTAAACTTAACTCTAACATTGTCGAATTTCCTGCAATAGGTAGTTTTTCAATGAAGCGATTTGGATCAAATACTCTGTGAGGTTGATATTTGGTAGGCCCTTCTCCAGTCTCATCAGCAGCCCATAAATCTGGATCTGAGTAGTACGAAGGCTCATCAAAAAGCACTAGTTCTCCTTCAGCAATGTCTTGGTTTAGTATTTCCCCATCGCGGAGGGCTTGACGCAAACAACCAAAAGGCCAACCAGGTACACATAAACGCAGCGTTTCTTGAATTAAGGCCTTTGTCCAAACCAAACATTTTGTGTGCTCCAAAGACATGCAAAGATGTGACTGAAAGGGAAAATACTTTGGCGATTACCTTTTAAAAATCGCACGGAGCTAAATTACCAAAGCGTTAATGAAATCTACTTACGGTGTATTACAAAGCACCACCTAACATTGGTCTTGATCTTTCTCAAAGATCACCGTAAGTGGATACAAAGTTTTTCTTAATAATCATTTGGATTAGATACAAATAGCGGAAACAGTTCTATTTTACTGAACCAAATGTCCTCAGTATTACGAACAAACTTGAATCCAACCACACTAATCCAATCTAGTGAACAGGATCTGGTCTATTGTAATGGTGATTTCAAACTAATACTCATGGTTCTCACTAGTGTGTGTTTGTTATGATACTTTCCGTCGCCGTACTTGGATGTTTAAACATTTCATTTCTTTTCGTTCGCATGAAAGGATTTTAAAGCATCGGCTAGTAAGTGGATCATCAAATTACTATTGTTTCACTAACATACTTGCACAGGTTGATAATTGGAGACATCGATAGAATTGGGGCACTTAAGAATCTTACCTTAAAATGTGGATTGGTCTACTATTGTCCCGTAATCTACCCCGATCCATTTAATTACTTTTGTCACTGGATCAAGAGGATATTGTGTTGTAATACCCGGTAAGATCAGATATCATGTCGTCTTACAGATAAAATAAACTTTTCTGACAGATGAGATACCAATCTCTACGTTTGTAAATATGTGTGCAGTCGGAATAGTAAGGCTTTGGTGCATGTTTAGGACCATTCACGAAAATAAATCTTAACTCGACAATTACTTGGTTGAGATTCATTTTTAGTAAAACAGATTTAATTCTGTTTTGAATAAGTTGTAACAGCTATTACTTCCAAATGATATTTTGAAACATATACCAACCACATTCATTTGGCAATTTTAGTCGGTTGTACTCAGTATTATCAAAGGGATATTTTAGAAGCGATCAGTAACTATTATCAATTCAATCTGATTCACCACAAAACACACATGACTCCTCATATGACAAGTTAAAACTTTAATATCCAGTTAACTTAGCTTAAAAGTCGAATCGCAAACTAACAAGTTTCTGTTCAAGATATGTAGAAAAAAGGTGCCCACTAAACTTATTATCAAGTAGACAACTTAAGTCCTCTCTAACTTTTAGTAATTTTATATTGGAAGTTCAAATGAAGTGCAAGACTGAATCTAAGTTCTCTTACCTGTCAATATTAAACAACTACACACGTCTCCAATGCTGGAGAGATTTCTACTCTCTTGTAAGCCCAGACCTCTATCATATACCACTGATATTCAAATATTGACCAATAAGCTATATTTTTATAGAAATTAGATGTACGGATTTTAGTGATCCAACCCTACCGACCAATAAGTCGGATGTATTTATCAAGCTAAGTGACATGCTCTTTGTGTTTATTAGTAGGTTAAATTCTGTGAACCCTAAGGAAATTTCCTGTTTGATCTAATGTAAACCATAGCGGCAAATCTTTCAGTGAATACTATCTTATCATCATCAATTCGTTTTTGCCTAAATTACTTGATATATGATCAAGAAATGAAAAATATCATCTAAGTAAATCCTGCAAAATTTAACTCACTAAAGGATGGCTGCATAATGACGCAGATCTTTGTGTTTTATGGTTATATTGGATTTCTAGGAATTGTTTACATTCTTTTCTTACATTATCTTGCCATTTTGGTTTAATAGCTAAAATCGTCAATAGAGTTTTTAAAGTCTTATTCATTGTATACCTAGTTATTAAACAACATTCACCAAGTAAATGAATAATATGTGTTAGTGTTAGGAATTCATTGGAACTTCCTTCCTCTTTCAAATAGTGATATGTATTAATGAGTTGTAGTAATAGATTTGTTGGTTTCTCGCTTCTTTGTAAATATTCTAGATTACCATCTGGATTGTTAGTATTTTCTTTTCTTTCTTTACTATTCAAAAATTTATCCAAATAATAATGAATTAAAGGATTTATAAGACTGTGAAACATAGTTATTAACTCATTCGTATTATGGGTTGATGGGTTGTTGAGAAATGGCTGTAAGATTGCTTTAAATACATTTGACTTTTCTATAAAGTTCCCATGTGTATGTAAGGATTCCAGTGAGATTATGCACTTTCTTAGATCTAGAATGAATTTTTCTCTTCCAAAACGAAATGTATTGTCTGAGGCAGTTTCGCAAAAAATTTCTGATGGACCGAAAAAAAAAACTTCTGAATATACACTACATATCCATATGTCTAAACGTTTTTCAAATCTTGCACAGTTGTTAGTACTAACTAATATAGAGCCAAGTAATTGAGGATCAGCTCCTAAATGGCCGGTACGTTCGAATATTTTAATTGGTAAACTATTGAACGCCAACAACACCAGCTCAACCAATTCAGATCTAAACTGTAAAGTATCATCAGCAATCATTAGGCCACACCATTTTCGTCTAAATGATTCTAAAGAAAAAGGAAACATGAAATTTAAAGCAATGTTCATATCTGTTGATTTTCTTTTGTTTCTGAAGCAAAATACATAATTTAAATTTAATTGGTAGTAGAATTTATAACGAGTTTCCTACTACATAAGGCTTTTTAACCAGATCTCAGGTTTAGATTCAATTACTTACTCCACACTGTCGCTTCTTTCACTGGTATACACGCAGAAGTTCTGTACGATTGTGTTGAGCTATAGCTCAAGGATTCAAACACTAGACTCTTATCAAATCAGTTAAATGTCTTAAACTGACCAAGAGTTAAACTTCTAACTTACAGTTGTTACGTAAGAAGTTACGCTTATACCCCAGTAGAGAAATCTGGGTGTAATTACAGGGTTCTATTACATACAGTAAATAAGAATCAACATGGGATTTGGTGCGAATCTACTTCTGTCCAAATCATCATATCACAGCGCAAAGATGAGATTAGCTTAACCACACATCACACTCCGAATTCCTAGTATTATCTAAACCCTTGATCCACAAACTTTCTTCTAAAATCTCATTGCATAAACTTCCCGAACAAATTTGTTCACCTAGCAGCAGATTACTTTCCTGATTAAAAGTAATACAAACATATCAAGTTAATTTTAATGCTAGCTGCTTATAAATACACCCTAAGTGCCTACTCTTTATGTACACACCAAATACCTACATGGTTTTCATTCTCAAGAAAAGTCTTTAAGTTTAACTTATTTAAATATTCATTTAAAACTTAAAAACATTTACTATTCGTGACACTTCACTCATATATATATATATATATATATATATATATATATATATATATATATTTGAGCAGAGCCGAAACCAGAAGCTTGAGATCTCTTACTTACTTAGTCCTGTTACTCCCAATGCAGCATAGGCCGCCGACCAGCATTCTCCAATCCACTCTGTCCTGGACCTTCTTTTCTAGTTCCATCCAATTCTTGTTCATTTTTTTCATGTCTATTTCCATTTCTCGGCGTAATGTGTTCTTTGGTCGTCCTCTTTTCCTTTGGCCTTGAGGATTCCATCTGAGGGCTTGTCTTGTGATGCAGTTGGGAGCTTTCCTCAATGTGTGTCCTACCCACTTCCAGCGCTTCTTCCTAATTTCTTCCTCCGCTGGGATCTGGTTTGTTCTCTCCCACAGTAGGTCGTTGCTAATAGTGTCCGGCCAACGGATCCGAAGTATTTTGCGTAGACGACTGTTAATAAACACCGGTATTTTCTGGATGATGACTTTCGTAGTTCTCCAGGTTTCTGCCCCATACAGTAGAACTGTCTTGACATTTGTATTGAAAATCCTGACCTTGGTGTTGGTTGACAGTTGTTTTGAGTTCCAGATGTTCCTCAGTTGTAAATATGCTGCTCTTGCTTTGCCGATCCGCGCCTCCACATCTGCATCAGATCCACCCTGTTCATCAATCATGCTGCCCAAATATGTAAAGGTTTTTACATCTTCCAAATCTTCTCCCTCAATTGTGATTAGATTGGTGCATGCTGTGTTGTATCGGAGAATCTTGCTTTTCCCTTTGTGTATATTGAGACCTACTGCTGCCACACTGTTCGTCTTCTCCTGCATTTGTTGTTGCGTTTGGGATAGAAGGGCCAGATCATCTGCGAAGTCTAGACCGTCTAACTGCACCCTAGATGTCCACTGTATCCCGTGATTCCCTTCAGATGTTGACATCTTCATGATCCAGTCGATCACCAAGAGAAAGGGTGAGAGTAAGCAACCTTGCTTAACACCGGTCTTCACTTCGAACGACTTTGTCAACTGTCCTCCATGCACGATTTTGCAGTGTAATCCATCATATGAACTCTGTATGATATTGACTATCTTCTGAGGCACGCCGTAGTGTCGAAGAAGCTTCCATAGTGTTGTTCTGTCCACGCTATCAAATTGCTTCTCGTAGTCAATGAAGTGGATGTAGAGTGATGAATTCCACTCAATTGATTGTTCCACAATGATCCGT